GAGTTGTTGGCTTCCGTTGCTACAGCTTTGGCTAAATAGGACTTTCCAGTTCCAGGTGGGCCAAATAACAGGATACCTCTCCAGGGGGTTCTTTTGCCTAAAATGTGTTAAAGGGAGAACACAAGGATTTCAGTTACACATACATCACAGCCACACTGAAGAATGCTGTCACGAGGTTTTCACTTTAACACTATTGGTAAGAATAAAATCTCCGAAAAGTTTTTGGCACTCCAAGGAAAAAAGATGAGGCTTTCTGTTCCTGTTCAGATTTACAGCCTCAGAAACCCCATGCAGGGTCACTATGAGTTAGAAGTGACTCCATGGCACACAGCCACCACCACCGCATCGAGAGAGCGGCTGGTCGAAAGCATGCATGGGTGGGTATAATCCTTGGCGAGCTGGCTGTGGAGACAGAAGGATTTCAGTCCTCTGGGGCTGACAGCCGTCTAGTCTGGGACGGGGGAAGCAGTTCAGTCAGAAGGCTCTTCTGACTGTCAACTGCTCACACTGCTCCACTTCACAGCAAGCTGTAGAAATGGCATCTATGGGGAGGGCAGCTGCCAATCTCTTCTTTTACATACGTGTGACCTTTGCAAGTGTTAAGTGTAAGAATTTGGGCAACTTGCAAAATTCAAGTCCATTCTTGATTCCACAATGAAGCACAGGCAGCAAGTTCTCATCCAAACAGGTGGGTACTGACAAGAAGGCTCCACCTTACAGCTGAGTTTTGCCAAAATAGAACAAGTGAACAGTTCGAGTCTTTGTGTCTCAATTTTTCAAATAAGAAATGCTATGACTGCCTAAAATGAACTGGGTTGGCTTACAGCTGGCAAGAAAGTCCCCAACACGCATTTAAAAGACTACTTTCTGCAAACTGTAGGTGGGTACAGCGCGTGTGCAAAAGTGTCAAATACAAATGACTGATGAAAATGAAATGCTGTTAGACTGATGGTTATAAATGCCTCAGTCTGATGTGGATGCTAGTTCCGATTTCAATGTGTGACTTCAATGTGCGTCAGTCAGTGTCCCCCAAGTGTGGGAGACACGCCACAGGTGGCCCAGGAAGTGCTTTCAGGTGGTACGCAATTTTACTTTATGGGATTATTGTATCCCTTAAGTTTAGTATGTATACATTGTACTTATGTTATTTACATGATCATCTTCTGAATGTATTATCAGAAAACCACTACTTTTCATTTGGTAGTACACACACTGTGACCTTGTAAGATCAAAGTAATTAGAAAATGCAGCATAACATGATTTCAAAGCTCAAAGGCTGGACACGGTTGGTAGGATAGGTGGGTGGGTCAGTGGGGATGGGAGGGCTCCTGATCTGGGGAAGATTACACAGCTGTTTACTTCTGGACACTTTGTTAAGTAGATTTTGTGCTCACACTGTTGTTTAATAAAAAGTTTATTTTAAGAAGTGATTTAAAGAAAAATATGACAAATAATCTGGGTACACACATAGGTACTAAGGCTCCTGAAAAGAATCCATCAGGTTGTGTGTTTGGGAAAGTGTTTTGGAAACAACACAGGGTGAGTTCAATCCCAAGGTTGTGCCTCTGCAGGGTCACGATGGTGACAGTCACACGCAGCTGCACAGATGTCAGGTTAGATGGCTGCGCATGCTACACTCTGCTGTACGCGACAGCACTGTCTGCACCTGCTCAGATGACGAGGTGGCCCTATCACCAACAGGCTGCCAGTGCCAAGAATGACCACGTGAAGAAAGGATCTGGCAAACAGAGCGCTCACTGCTGGTCTGTCACCGAAACCACCTGTAGATGGAGGTCGGCAAAGTTCTCCACGTGGGGACAACCAGCTGTCCTTTGGCAACTGGGAGACAGAGACATGCTTTACCTGAAACTGACCAACCATTACAAGTCCTCATTGAGAAACTGGAAAGACTTTCATAAAACCCACAGCTGTCTAGGGTCAAACCTCCCCTGAGAGCAATCACCTCAGCAGAAGAGGGAGAAGCCACACGTCATCTGTCATCTGACTTCCTAGGCACTCCTTCACACTTTTATGTCTGCTTACTGACACTTACTTCTCGGCACACACATTTCTACAGCTCTGAAAAGGGTGTGGAAAAGTTCCATTAGCTTTTCATTCAATTTTCCTATAAACTTTTTGAAGCCCCTTCATATCTTGTAGCTTGCTTTTTGATCCTACTGTATTGTAGACAAACGCTGGACTGCAAAGTCAGTTTGAACTGCAAGGTTGGTGGTTCAAACTCACCAGGCGCTCCTTAGAAACCCTACACAGTGTCACTATGGGTTGGAACTGACTCAACGGCTCTTAACAACAACATATTGTTGGACATTCTTCTAAGTCAGGAAACTACCATGTTTATATATACTCTAACTCTGAATCCTCACATAGTATGCTACTGCTTGACAATAAAGTGACTTAGCCTTGCCTCTGTTGACAACGTACTTGGGTTATGAGTCAGGCTGCTAACCCTGAAGTTAGCAGTTCAAAACTACCAACTGCTCTGAGGGAGATAGAGGACACTTTCTGCTCACATCAAGATTTACAGCCTCGGAAACTCTATACAGGGTTGCTCTGAATCAGAACCGACTCCATCACCATCAGCACCTGCTGGACCTTTAGGCTGTTTTGCATTGTTTGTGTATTTTTATTTATTTGTTTGCTTGTTTTTAAGGCTCTTATTGTGGATTGAGTGAAAGCTTACAGGGCAGATCATCAGTTTTACATTCAGCAAATAATACACTTTGTTTAACTACAAGGATTATAATCCCCTCCAGATACCATTAGTTAACAGTATTCCTCTCTATTCACTTCAGCTCTTCTTTTTAAAAAAACACTCAGGCATATATAATAATTTACACCACCAAAGGGCACATTTTGCAAGTCTGCCTCCTGGCCAACATCTTAGTCCCTCTCTTCCCATGAATCTAGAATCCCCAGCTGGTCCCCCTCTCTATGTTCCCATCTCTGCCTCGATTTCTGGTGTCGCTGCTTCTCTGGATAAGGTCTTGCATTCTGCTTGTGCTCTTCTCCCTTGATAGTCCTAGGGTCCTGTTTCTGGACTGTAAGATTAATTACTCTCCCATTTTTGTTACAAAACTTCTACTTTTACAATTTTGACAGTCACGCTTAGTCATCATAACAATCACTCACTATTGAATCATAAGAATCTTATCCCCATCTCTTTTAACCAGACTCACCTAGACAAGATGAAAATATTCAGTGGGGACTCTTTTTGCCCCTACACACTATTAAACTAAACTCCCTCTTGAAACCTTGTGCGCCAGTCACTTTGTCCCTTTGTCACCCCCTCATTTTAGGTAGCCAAAGTCTAAGTTGCCCTTCCCAATCTACCCTGTGTACAGAGGAGATAGCATTAATGCTAGATGTGAAGACTCCTTCCCTCTCTGTTGGTATTTATGTGGTACTGTAGGCTAATGCGTCAGACTGTAAAGTCATTTGAACAACTGCAAGGTCGGTGGTTCCAGCTCACCAGCTGCTCCTTGGAAACCCTATACAGGGTCGCTATGGCTCGGAACCGAGTCAACGGCACTTAACAACAACAACAACCTCCATGAGTATAGGTCAAGTTCATCAAATTGTAGCAATTTACCCTTGTTTCTTTTATCAAAAATTGTTTTGTTCTTCTGTTTTTAAATTTTCCTCTAGTCAAGTTCTAATTATCAAGCCTTGAAGCTAGGTCAAATGGGTACTGTCTGCAAGTTTGGGTGTTCTTGTGCGTCTCTCCTCACTTCCTATCAGCTGGATGCTTCACTCTCAGCTCTAGTCCTCTATGGCTATGTCCTTGTCCCTGGGCTCAGGTGTCCCCAGGTGTTTGTACATTTAAAAAAAAATCAACCAAGTTGTAGAAAGATTTTTCACCTCCTAATAGCAATCAAAATTTAAAGTGATCACTCAAGATGTAGCAGACAAGACTTTACAAGGCGTGACCTGTGTCATAAACGTGCTCTGGAGGAAACTCGTCTCACCTGTAAAGAGATGCGGGAATTTGATAGGTAGTATCACAGCCTCTTTGAGGGCTTCTTTGGCTCCTTCCAGACCGGCCACATCGCTCCAATTCACATTTGGTCGCTCAATAACAATGGCACCTACAAAACAATCACCCACCTTTCAATTAAGGAAGACAGTTTATCAAGTTTAGAAGACAGGGAGTAAGGACTTGAAAGAAATGCATCCTTCAAATGCTGGGAAAACACCTTCTGCACTGAAGACTCCCTGAAATCGTGGGAAATAGCTGTCAGCGGGGCCAGGGCCTGAGTGTGAGGCTCTGAGACATGGTGAGAATCAGAGCACTGGGGCAGCTACAACACAGTGATGCGGACCAGCAGTGCTCAATGGAGGGACCTATGCTACCTCCTTTCCGCCAAGAAAGCTGGCTTCGAGACAGATACAGACAGACAGGAAGACAGCAGAGAGGAAAAGGCAAGGGAAATAAACAGCTAGAAAGAGGACAAGAGAAGAAGATAAGAAAGAAAAGTCTCCCCAAAGAGACGGGCCCTCTTTCCAGAGGTTTGCTGGACTTTTCTTGGTTTTCTAGTTCATAGAAGCTGTTCAATCACAAACTAAGAACCAGTCGTTCTTAGATGAACTGTAGCCATTTTAAGTGTATCAAAATACCACCACTGACACATTACCCTATGAAATTACTTTAAGAGCTAATTTCTTCTTGTTAGCAAAGATCACTTATTATCCTAAGACTAGTTAAGATCTGTTAACTTGTGTCACAGAATTATGAAAATTTTTAGTCAGTAGGTTAAAATTCAGTGAAGTCACTTTAAATTCTGCCCCCCCCCCCATTCAGGTTCAGACGAAATATAAAGAAAGAAAAACAGCCAATTCCTTTTCCTTTTCTATGTTCCATTTATATTAGAGATAAATAAAGTCATACCATACAACAGGATTTTTTGTCAGTCCAAGGAGAGTAGCTTTACTTTTCTAACTTTACTTTCTGTCACAGCACGTTCCTCCCAGGGGCACCAATTAGTCTTAAACTCTGCCATGACATCCCCTTCATCTTTAACAGATGCCTTTCCCCTTTGGATTGTTTGGTGATTTACACATCATTAATATTAATTATGGAGTCCTGGTGTGACGCTGTGGGTTAATGCACTAGACTGCAGTCAGTTTGAACTATAAGGTTGGTGGTTCAAGCTCACCAGTTGCTATGGGTCAGAACCGACTCGATGGCACTTAACAACAATATTAATTACATATTGTTAATGCTAATTAGTGATGTGGTTACGAGTCGGGCTGCTAAGCTCAAGGTAAACAGTTTGACACTACCAGCTGTTCCGCGGTAGAAAGAATAGGGTTTCTGCTCCCATAAAGATTTATAGCCTCGGAAACCCTGTGCAGGGTCGCTATGGGTCGAAACTGACTCCACGGCACACAGCCCCCAGCAGCACCACTGTGAATTAGAAGAAGCCCTGGTGGTTAGATGGCTAAGTGCTGGCTGCTCAGTGACTCCAGCTGAAACTGTGTGGGAGACGGGCCTGGAGCCGTGCTTCCATAGCGTCTGCAGACTACACAACCTTAAGGGCAGTTTTGTCACATGGGTCATTACTAGTCAGAATGACCCCACAGCACCCAACAATAACAACAACAACAAACGTTAATTACTGGACAGGACTTGCTGTGGTTAAGTGCCACCGAGTAGGTTCTGACTCACAGCAGGCCCAGCAGAGGGCTTCCCAGGAGAGGCTGATGGGTTTGAACTGCCAACCTTATTAGCAGTCCAGACCTTATCCTACACCAGGACTCTAGGACATGATTTAGCGGTGTCTAAACTTTTTACAAAGGAGTGGCTGCTAGAAAATATAATTAAAACACTTTGCCCTAATCTTCCAATTATAGCAATTTACATATGATTACATTATCTAAATAGTTACAGAACATCAAGACAAACTCTTGAAAAAACCCAAATCATAAACTCATTTCTAATTTTAACAAATATTATACTAAGTATTATGATCTCACACAGATGTAAAATATTTAGTATACTGTTTCAGACAAAAAGAGGAAAAAACTAAACAAAAAACTACGATACCACACCATGAAATCCACCAGCAAACCATGACAGTGAGAGACGGGCAAAAAAACAGGACAATGAGAGACTGCAAAAAGGCCTCCCAGGTCTGGACAGTGAGGACGCCCTCAACAGTATCTCATCCCCAAGGCCCACAGGCTCGTGCCGTCTGCATCTCCCTCTCTGGGGCTCAGGCTAACTGGAAGGGAATTTACAGAAAAGGCCCCCACAGCTCCATTATCCACTCGAGTCCTCTGTGGCACGTCATTGACTCTAGGCCCAGGTGTCCTCGGGTCTCCTCACACTGCTTGCCAATCAGGTCCCCAACAGGGTCCACAGAAGCCCTCTGATTATTGTGAGGCTTAGTTCACCGCTTCACTGCTGCATTTACCCCACTTCTCCCCAATGGTGATGTGTGTATTTACCAATCACAGTGTGCATTTCCTCCAAGCCTCAGTTTTGGGAGGGGGCCTACATTGGTAGGACCCGACCAACTGTCCCAATGTATCCTAGGGAAGCAACCCGTTTGTTCCCATAGTAACAGTCCACCTGTCTCCATTGTATCGTATTTTTCCTGTAGGTCCTCCATTCGAGACTTATCTTTTGTTCTTCTCACCGCTCCAGACTAGTCAGCTCAACCTTTCAAGTGGGGATTTCTCATCTCTGGTGATCTGGATGTGGTTCTGGCTTCCACCTATAGTTCTATGTATTGCAGAGGCTACACAGAAAGCCTCGTTCACCGGGTACGCTGTAGCCCCATTTTAGGTATTCCAATCAGGTAAAGGCAGAAGACGGACTTACAAACCTTCTAGTGTGATGTTTCTGACTATTCCTTTCTCTCCCCGTCCAGTGTCTACTCTATATTATAATGCAAAGAAAACCAAGATTCCAAAAACAGTCAAGCATCTTAACATGATTCCCCTGCCCATTCCAACCATGGGTCAATCCCTGTATCTCAGAGCCCTGGAGGTCCAAGACTGTGCACATATCGTCCTTTATCTCTGTCCCATTTGGCCCATTCAAACATGCCCAATTGTTCTCCCATCTGCCCCGTATCTCCACTTCCCTCTCCCTCCCTGTATATTGCCCCCCTCCCCAG